TATTTCGGGGCCTTAAAATAAGTTTTTTTTTCTGATTTGTTTTTTGTCAGTTCTCTATGATGTACCCTACACGCCTATAAATTTTGAAGCCATTCTGCTAAGCCAGAAAAACATTAAAAATCCTCAAAGATGGGGGTGTCAAAACGTGCTCGCCCACTCACTATTTTGTTTTTTTTCACTTTTCACTTTTTGTTTTCCCTTTATTTCGGGGCCTAAAAAAATTTCTTATTTTTTGAAAACAAATTAATGAGTTATTGATTATTTAAACTACATATCTGTAAATTTTCAGGGAATTTTTCAATGCCAAAAAATAATAAAAAATCGGCAAAGATGGCGGTGTCGAAAAGGTGCTGGCACACTCACTCATTTTAATTCTCTTTTTATTTTTTCTCATTTTTATTATAGTGTTTATTTTTTGTATTGGATTTTTAATTCAAATTTGGTAAAGAATTTGGATATTCTGCCCAGACAAATGTTGTTTAGTTTATTTTTCTCCATAACATCGTTTCTTTTTCGGAATTTTTTGAGAACTTTGTTTTTTTTTTTTTTTTTGGTCCGCGTTCGGCCCGAACGGCCGAACGCCTCCCGTAGGGGTCTCGTACGTTCGGGCGTTCGGGTTCGGGCGTTCGGCCCGTCCCGAACGCCAGTAACCCTGATTATCTTATTATATATTTAAAGAAGGATAATTTTAATTAAAGAAGTCTATTATTATTTTTTCAAAAAAGGTTATATGTGCGAGGCTACGCCCGCTCAGCCCCTTCGGGGCCTTTTTTGCAGCATGTCGGCCGCCCTACGTGAAGGCAGGCGCGACAGGCCCTCAGGGCCTCGATTTTTAGGGTACCCCGCAACTGGTGAAATTCAGACAGTTGCGCTGCGCCAGTTGGTTGGTCCTTGGGTGCAAGTGGCATCTATGTGGTGTGGATCGGGATTGCGAGTGTTGCGAGAGACATACCTGGTGCTGGAAGCGTGCGACATTGTCCGCTGTATGCTTGTACTTCAGGGAGTTGTTGTTGTCAACATCGGCATTGTAGTATTAGGCTAGATAGGATCTGCCACAAGTAGTCTGGGCGCAGAGCGCCAATAGGATATCAACTCTTGTTCTTCGTTGATGATGATGAGAGACTATKTCAGCATTGTCAATTACGAACTATTGGTGTGCTCTGATTTGGTGAATCTCGTGATGCATGACTACTGTTGGTTCGAGGTCAAGACTATCTGGACACATATGTATGATGTTGTTTGATTGCTGGAGTTCGCTAATGCTCATCTTCCTTGCAAATTGGTATCGGAGCAGTGGTACGATTGCGCTCATCTGACGCTTGTCTTCTGCCTTATGCGGTACATACATGCGGTCTGCTGGGTGAGTTTGGCCGTAAGTGGTGTGTAGTGAGGAGGGTGGAGACGAGTGTGAAGGCGATCCAGGAGGTGAGGGGTTCGCCAGGAAGGCTACGTGAAGTGTAAGTGGTCTGGACAGTGTGATGAGAACTATCTAATGTGCGATTGATGCTGAGGTGGAACGGCGGATAATGCTGGTTGTGCCGATGCAGTGACTGGTCATCGCAATTGCCATTGGGTCATCTGGTGAGATTATCTCTGTGGTTGGGGGCAGCAATATTGAGGTACGTTACTCCCAACCTTGTCTACCCTCTCCAACACTTCTTACCGTGAGGTTGTGTGATCCAACTTGAGAGTCCTCTCATCGTGAGGTGTCGAGTGCGCTCAACCTTGAGAGTCGGCATACTTCCTGTGGAGCATCAGGGGGAAGAGGGCGTTGCTTTCTGAAGGGCCCTGGACGAAGCACTGGGTCACGGTCACCATGCCAACCCACTGGGTGTAGTTCACGCATGCTTCGCTGCAAGTCTTTGGTTCTGTTGCTTGCGCAGATAGAGGTTAACTCGGGTGTGGCAGCCTCTTGAGACGCTTACCAGACCGTCTATAAACATTTCAGGTTGGGGACTCGGCTCTGAATCTGGCTGTGATCGTCGTCTGCGACGTAAAATAATTCCTGGAGTCACTTGGGGGCGGACGCCAAACCGCCTCTTGATCAGCCAGATCAACCGAGTGTAAGGCTCGTCGGCGTACGAGGATAAATAAGAGTGTTGTGGCTGCCTTGCTCGACGATAACCTGGGGCACAGGGGTGGGACCGGATTGCACACCTTCTGTCACGCATGCTACCTGATTGCTCAGGACGCTGACGGCAAGAGATACTCAAGTGTAGACTAGAGAGAGGGGTTGATTCCAGGTGACAAGTTCGAGAAAATACCATGCTGTCCTATCCACACAAGTGAATCTATTTTTATGTTTTTGATTAGTTAGATGGACTGCCATTGACATCTGACAGACAACATTAGTTAGAACTTTTGATTGTTCCTGGTGCTTCTGTTTGCGGACCAGTCATACTAAAAATAGTTTCAGTTGTAGGAATCTGAATTATCTGTTGACCCCAAATGAAGTCTGTTCCAAAATAGCCACCATTAATTAGTTGGTATGTGCACTACGCTGCGGTAGACATCTTGAATGATCTAGTGTAGGCGGTGCACAGTGTTGTAGCCTATGAGCGACAGTGAGGACACCGGAGAGGACGACCGCAGGATCTTGTGATCAGCTAGAGGCCCGATAACTCACGTGTCCCTAGGACCGGGGGGTGATAGGGAACTGTTCCGCCGGCAGAGGGAGAGGCAGCAGCAGAGGAGAGTTAGAGCAGCCGAGGCCAGCAGGGCATTAGCTAGCGAGGCCGGTGCTACAACAGCCATGGCTACCACAGCCATGAGCACGTCTGCGCAGCAGACTTCCCAAGCCGGTAGTTCAGGTACCACCGGGGCCACGGTCACGCAGACCGTGAGTCAGTCCACTGGCTTAGTGGTAAGCCAGCCCGCGGTGTTGACCCCAGAGGATGTCGCCATCCTGAGGCACAGCTATAGCGGGCATTAGGACAGATAAAAAGGGAAAAGGAGATGATGATTAGAAGAAGAACCAGGATGCAACGGAGAGGGGCAGACATAGAGGAGTTAGAGATGATGGACCTGACGCATATGGATGATGATGTGAAGGTAGTTAGGAGGGCCCTGCTAGGCGTAATTGAGATGCAGGAGCATCAAACTACCATCCTTCAGGACATCCAACAAAGCCTAGCCGTGTTGGCAGGCCGTGCTCAAGAAGCACCATCACCAGCAGGGCCTGGTGTCTGGCCCGTGCCATATCCTCCTTTTTCTGTCCCACCGGTGACAGGGGTATCCCCATATGTAGCCCCGTCAACGGTTGCAATAGTTTCCCTGGGCATGCTGCTGTCAGGAGGGATAACAACAGGGAGTACTTTACAGGTTCATGTATAGACAATGTTCACTCAAAGTCCGTTGCAGGTTGCGGTCACCACGTAGCCTGCTGTCTTGCAACCGGTGCAGCCACAGGGCACACAGCCCCAGCAGCTAGCACAGCAACCTGTATCACCGGGTCCACAGCCCGGGGTGGTGCAGGGACCGGGACAAACTCAGTGGGTTCCAAAGACGGCCATCGCCGCTCCCAAACCTTTTACAGGGGACAAGAGAGGCGAAGACCTTGACACTTGGTTGAGGGCAGTGCTGGTCTACGTAAGGTGTAAACTCACCTTGCCACACGAAGAAGTGCTTGTGGCTGCATCCTACCTAGAGGGTAGTGCAGCAAGATGGTTGAGTGGTTTAGTACAACTCCAGGGGCACGATCATGACTTCTGCTCTTGGGCAGTCTCCCAGAAGTTGGAGGACTTCCTGAAGATGGTGGAAGAGAGATGGCATGATCCTCAGGAGGCCCAAAAGACCACTGATGTGATCCTGACACTGCACATGCGGCAGTTTAAGTCAGTTAGGGAAGCCACAGACGCTGTTGAGCGTTTAATCTGTGTCCCAGGTGTGCGCTATGACCCTCAGGTCCTGTTGACTTCGTACTTGAGATGCTTATCCCAGCCTCTCAGGAACCAGTTGGCAAAAGAGGCCAACATCAATATGCACAACTTTCCTTCGTTCAACAAGGTGGCCCTAGACCTAGAAGCAAAGATAGGGCATGGACAGACACCCACTACGGACGGGAGGAAGAAGACACTGCCTCCCAACTGGAAAGCGAAGGGTCGCATCATGTTTGTCGACAACGATGGTTCAACCATCGAGTTGGACGGCAACTTCCAGGAGGGAGTAGGTGCAGAGGCGGGTGGCGAAACTTCAGAGGGTGGAGTAGTCGCCGCCGTAACTCAACAAAAGGGTAAGGGGACCGGTAGATGCTGAGGGGGCTCCCGATCTAGAAATCAAGTTGACCCCAATGCTCCTCCATGGGAGAAAGCGAGTCTTTCCGAGGACGTGTGGAGAGATCGGTGGAACCGTCAGGCCTGCATCCGTTGTGGTCAATACGGCCATAACCAGTTCAAATGTAGGAACAAGAAGGTCACCGATAAGATCCCGCCTACTATGGGGCAGGCGGTAGGATCCCCATCTCCCGTAGGTAGCAATGTTGCCAGTTCGTCAGGCACTGCTCCGGGAAACACGTCAGGCAAGTAGGAATAGTAGTTGCTCCTACTAGGGACGAGGTGGTGGAGACACCCTCGCCATCTCGCATCATGGCCCAAGCTACTGATTCCCTTGTCGTCCCGCAAACGCATTCAGACCCATCGACCCTTTGCTCGATGAATGTGTTTGRRTCCTTAGAGGAGCTAGAGRAGGAGTGGTCTAGACTAGACCCGCTAGCTTCTTGGACGRCACTAGCTAAAGCCCCGAAGGGTGAGATGTTCGTCAGCGAGATAGTCGTAGGCGGCCGCAAGGCCGGGGCCTATTATGACACTTGCTCGACACGAAACTTTATTAATCGCGCGTGTGTTGAGAGGCTGCGTTTACAGGGGCAAGTGCAGCGCCTGAGTCGAGCTGTGGAGTCGACCTGTGCCAACAAACAGCGCATGGTAGTTAATGACTACCTTCAGGATGTAGAATGCCTGTTCCCGTTCGCGGGAGGGGAGTTGAGGCATCGTGTCTCATTCCTAGTGAGCGACGATCTCCCTATGGATATCTTGTTAGGTATGTACTACCTCTCCGTGGCACAGCCCCAGTTTGACTGGGACCGAAAAGTGGTCAAACACACTTTGCCAGGTGGAGGGACCGCCAGACTACACAAGTTCAAAGCTAGTAGTCTGATCAATTCCCATGGATGCATGTGTGCGGCCACATTCTATAACTACTATAAGCAACATCAAGAGGAGGGTATGTACTTAGTTTATGTCTCTGCTGCAGGCGAGCCGGTGAAAATGTCGCCGGAGATAGAGGAAGTAGTTGCCAAGTACCCTGATCTATTTGAAGAGCCAACAGGGGTTGTTGATAGGGAGGTCATCCACGCGATAGAGATTATCCCAGGTTCTAGTATTCCGAAGGGTAGGATATATCGGATGTCTCCAGGCGAGCTTGATGAGCTTCGCCGCCAACTCAAGGAACTCGTAGAGAAGGGTTGGATCCGGCCGAGTGTCTCTCCTTACGGATCTCCAGTACTATTCGTACCTAAGAAGAAGGAGGGCACTCTCAGGATGTGCATTGATTATAGGGGTCTCAATGCCATCACTGTAAAGAACAGAGAGCCCCTACCGCGCATCGACGATCTGTTAGATAGAGTGCAAGGGTGTCGGTACTTCAGTAAGATAGATCTGAAGTCCGGGTACCATCAGACTGCAATCCGACCCGAGGATCAACACAAAACCGCATTTCAGACCAGGTACGGTCTGTACGAGTTTGTGGTGATGCCTTTTGACCTGTGCAATGCTCCTGGCACCTTTCAGCACACTATGAATCGGATATTCCATGACTACTTGGATAAGTTTGTCATCGTGTACCTCGATGACATACTTACTTTTAGTAAGACTGTCGAGGAGCACGTTGCACACTTGGACAAAGTCCTTAGTCTCCTGCGACAGCACAAGTTCAAGATCAACGGTGAGAAGTGCGAGTTAGGGCGCACCCGTGTCTTGTACTTGGGTCATGAGATCTCCTCGGAAGGGTTGAAGCCCGATAACGCGAAGGTGGCCAGCATTCGTGATTGGCCACGACCTCAGTCTGTGACTGAGATGAGATCTTTCTTAGGAATGACAGGCTACTACCGGACTTTTGTAAAGAACTATAGCGTAGTGGTCGCTCCTTTGACTGATCTGACCCGCCTTGACACCCCGTGGGAGTGGACAGATGAGTGCGAGGCTGCTTTCAGACATCTGAAGCATGCACTAACGCATTATGAAGTCTTGAAACTTCCCGATCCTGATAAGCCGTTTTACTACGGATGCTAGCCAATATGGCATTGGCGCTGTGCTTGCGCAGCAGGAAGGGCCAAAGTTGAGGCCTGTTGAGTACATGTCCAAGAAAATGCCGTCTCAGAAGTTGGCTAAGTCCACCTATGAGAAAGAACTCTATGCGGTGTTCAAGGCGCTGACCCATTGGAGACACTATCTCCTTGGGAGGTTCTTCATCCTCAGGACTGATTATCAGACCTTGAGATGGATGAGAACTCAGCCTGTACTCTCTGACGCATTGAAGCGTTGGATAGAAGTCATTGAGCAGTATGACTTTGACCCTCAGTACATCAAGGGTGAGTACAACAAGGTTGTTGATGCCTTGTCGCGTAGACCTGACTTCTCAAGTGCGCTGATTACTGAGTACAATCTTACGGATGATGTCACTCGATCCTTGGTGGAAGCCTATCGAGAGGACCAATTTATGTCTGAGATCATACGCAGACTCGAGGCGAAGGATAAACAAACTTCAGCCGAGTTTGAGTTGGTCAATGGCTTGTTGTTTCTCGAGAAGGAAGGGAATAAACGTTTGTGTGTCCCTGATAAAGAGTCTTTGCGTAGTTTGTTTTTAGGCGAGTGTCATGACGCCACCGACCATTTTGCGTACAAGAAGACCGCAGCCAATTTGCTGCAAAGGTTCTGGTGGTCCACGATGTTAAAAGATGCTAAGCTGTACGTGGAAACTTGTCAAGTTTGTCAACGAGACAAGCCTCGTACTCAGGCTCCTCTTGGGCTGATCAAGCCCCTTCCGATTCCGGAGAGGCCGGGTGAGAGCCCGTTCATGGACTTCATGGATACGCTAGTCACCAGCAAGAGTAGGATGAGACAGATCTTTGTCATCGTGGATAGGTTTAGTAAGTTTGCTAGATTAGTAGCAATGCCTGAGACAACATAGACTGAGTACGTGATTAAGTTGTTCAAAGAAAACTGGGTGAGAGATTTTGGATTGCCCAAGTCTATTGTGAGCGACCGAGATGTCAGGTTTACAAGCGAGTTATGGAAGGCCGCTGCAGCTGAACAGGGAACTCAACTGCAGATGACTTCTAGGAATCATCCCGAAGCCAACGGCCAGCCCGAACAGATGAACCGCGCTGTGCAACATCTATTGAGGCATTATATCAAGCCCAACTAGGTGGACTGGGACGAAAAGCTCGCACTTGTCGCCAGTCTGTACAATAACGCTGTACACAGCGCTACAGGGGTGAGTCCTAACAGTCTACAACTAACGTTTAAGCCTAGACTGCCCTTAGACTTCCAACTTTCTGACAACCAGCCAACTGCTGCACCAGGCACTCTAGAGTTTGCCTACCGATATGAACAGAAGATGCAAGAGGCTGTAGAGCACATGCAGAAGGCGCAGGCAGCAATGATAGAATCTGAGAATAAACACCGTCGCCCTTTTACATTTCAGGTTGGGGACAGAGTCTGGGTGAAGTCTTCAGAACTGGGACAGGAGTTCGGGATATCCCGCAAACTCATGCCTTAGTACTTTGGACCTTGGGAAGTGTTAGACGTAGTAGGGACAGATCCTGATGGTCCATCATATGTCATCCGTATCCCTGGTCATCTCAGAACTTACCCAGTCTTTCACGCCTCTAAGCTCATTGCGTTCGAGGAAACTGATCAGTTTCCCTCTCGTCGATCAATGCTGCCCCCAACCATGGACGGAGAAGTCGACATCGATGATATCGTCGACCACAGGGAGATGCCTGTTCAGAAGCCTCAGGGAAGGGGATGTCCTCCAAAGCCAAAGCTGCAGTTTCGTGTCCACTTCAGACATCACACAGATCCGAAGGAGGACCGCTGGTTTACTAAGGAGGAATTGATGCAGACCGCTCCTCAAATCGGTGCTCGCTATGAGAAGGATGTATTGAAAGGAAAGCGCCAGATGGCTCAGGATTGATCTTCTCAGAGGACTAACGAAGATATGGAGGAGGGAATGCGAGGCTACACCCGCTCAGCCCCTTCCGGGCCCTTTTTGCAGCATGTCGGCCGCCCTAAGTGAAGGCAGGCGCGACAGGCCCTCAGGGCCTCGATTTTCAGGGTACCCCGCAACTGGTGAAATTCAGACAGTTGCGCTGCGCCAGTTGGTTGAAGGCGCCCAGGCCCAGGCCATA